ATACACGATCTTGAGAAACGATTGCGCTTTGAGGACATGTTTCAGTGGCACCTATCTCCTCATCTCCGTGGGCACGCAATGAAGCTGCGCACGAAGATATCCAAGCTCAATCTCCGCTCTGAATTCTTCGCGCAACGGGCTATACAACAGTGGAACGACCTCTCGCAGTCAGTCGTGGAGGCCACTTCCCTTAAGTTGTACAAACAACGCTTGGATAATTATATGCGTCCCCTCTTGTCCCTCGAAGTCTTATTACCAGACTTTTTTGTAAAAACAATGCTACTCACTGTTTGCCAATACTATGTTAGTAGTGGTATTTTTTATATGTGTATGTACATGTGTGTGGCGCACCGGCATGTAATCAATAGGGTTTTCAAGGGGGTTGCCCATTACTCTCACCAAATAAATTAAACTGAAACTGGTGATGAGTCGCGTGCCTTGTAATGTAAGTTAAACGAAGATACACGGGGCTTTGAAAATGGAAAACCAATATTTCAATACAAGACGTTATTCTCTCTTTGCTGGTGTACGCCTTCTTCAGACATTTTACCCAGAAATCCTACTTTCACAACTGTCTTCGTGCATCGCCCTCTCCCGACTTCGGACTAAATCCAACCTGCCAGGGCGAGAAGTGACTTAACTGAATTCTAAGTTGTGCTGGACATTTAAAGTATGAACCGATGGCGGGAGACAAATTAACCAAACAGACTGCCAGTTGACAGTCGCGATAAAGGTATCGATCTACCAACGCAGACAGTACGGCAATTCCAACACGGAAAATCGATAATACAGACTAATTGTCATACATTAAGTCGCCAGCCGCAACTGAATCAAATCGCGTGACCTTATTCCAATGTGTTTTGAGTTCAACAGGTGTTTCTGACACACTTGAATACTTTGTTTGAACCAAATGTGACAAAATCGGCAGCCTTGGTTGTAAGCCCATTACGCTAATCTCATACATCTGGTTCTCTCAAATGCAGAAAAATCCGATAGATTTACGCAACCCAATAGCCCTCATCGAACGAGTATATACCGAGCATAGGACGCCGCGAGCTCTGCCTAAATAACAAACGAAGAATTACAGCAACGAATACCAAATTGCACTAATATAAACGAAAAAATGTGGTTTAAGTCATAGTTAGTACGAAACGAGACATGGGGCATCTCAAAAACGAAATTAGAGCTTC